CGAGCTAATGGACAGTGTCCTGGAGAGGGAGAAGAGGGTAATGGAGAAAAGGGGAATTAGTTTTGAGGTGGGTGTCTGATGCCTGTAATGGAAATGGGATGAATGCAGAGCACATAGTACTATAGAGTCACAATGCATGTAATGAAACTTTGTGCACACTCCCCTCAGCTTTCCATTTCTTTCATGCACTTGCTCTGCTCCTGCACCCTGGTGTCCTTGTTTTTTCAGTCTGACTCATCATACAAGGGAAGTTTCACACAGATTGAATGCGACAGTGACTCATATAATGCATCCCCGTTGATTTGCGTGATATTTGCCACAAAGGTCAGTCTGTACACACTTGCATCTGAGATTATCCCAATGTCTAACACAGGGGTTTTCAAAGGGATACACTTGTATAACAATAACCGCTGTCTGTAATAAACATCCATAAATTTGCTTTATCCAGAACTTGCCTGAGAATCATCATGTTTTTAAGTTTTTCCTCAGCATCAAAGTGATCCAGTGATGGTTTTCTTTACATCCATGGGTACATTGCCAACAGGAACTCCTGATGGCTAACTCGGCTTACTTTTAAGGGTGTTCAGGTTTACCAAAGCTCTCCCAATGCATTATTGGATCTGTAGTTCATCGAGGATTATTTACCCTCACAATGAGACACAGACTAATAATAGGCATGACAAAACCATTCATATTAACTTTTTCAAAGTTGCTCTCAATATACATTTTTTGTAATTAGAGTGGAAGGTATGTTGAAACCACCACAACACACACACATACACAGCAGCTCCGTAACTTAATACAATTCCACCCATTTCATTTCCGATCTGCGTGTACAGTAAATGCAAAAGATGTCAACTGTCGCATATAAAAATGGTTACAAGACCTCTCTAACATGCTGCGGTAGACTGCATTACATTCTGTCCTTCTACAGGATACTGAAGTGTAAATAAAATGGATTCTTCTCAAACACCATAGCCAGTGAGTCACCGCTTTTACAGGATCTGTCACTGCTCTCCTCAGCAATGAGGACAGGCTTGTTCCCCCCTTCGCTACTTTTATTGTCTGACAAACAATAGTCACAGTCATCAGTTTGACGTCAATAATAATTAAGCTCCCGTTTCTTTTATATTTCAGCAGAAAATGACACAGAAACAGTCTATGTCACAGAACAAAATGATACAGAGGCAACTGAATATCACAATTCTCTCCTCTGATGGATTGCTTGGATAAAAAAAAAAAAGAGACAATAACGTTAAAATGACATTTCTTTTGAACAGTTGCTTGAGCTACTCAACATTTTTTATTAGCTATCCATGTGAAATTAACTAGTACCTGATCATTTACAATGAAAAATAAACATCTATGTATCCGAGCAGACCAGCAGGCAGTGTAACCCTCTCTATACTGAGGACTCGATCTCCATCCTCCACTGTGATCATTTGGTCTTTTGGGCCTAAGTATCTCCTCTGCTGAAGCAGAACTGCCAAAACAGCAGCTCTCTGTCGGATTAGGACATAACTGTCAGGCGGTCCCAGCTACACTGTGACAGACCTATTAGCAGGCCGCATGTCATTGTGGGGCTTTGCAGACACGACAGGATGTAAAATCGAGGGGGTGTGTCTTCCTGCATTTCTTTGGTGCTTTTTGGAGTTTAGAGAGAATGAATAAAACATCCAAACATGACACCATCAAATACTCAAACTAAAAAGTAGTAGTACACTTGTAGCACCAGTATTTTCTGCGCAGATTATTTAGTATTTCTGAAGATAAAATATTCACACTGGTTTGTTTGGTTGCACAGCGTTACATGTTGTTAGAGCAGTGTCATTGTTTGGTTCAAGTTTTTCTAGTATTCATCGAAATTCTTGTCGAATAGGAGACACTAACTAAAGACATTAACTGCATGATTGTGAAAAACACCAGCTAAAAAGATGGCTTTGATGCTATTTAATACAAACAATAGCTGAAATGATATTCAGTTGCTAATTATCGGCCCGAGTTGCCTCGGAAGCTGTCTGGCTTTTGGGGGTTTGCTTGTCTTGCTGCCTTGTTGTTTGGCGAGTAGCCAAAGGCTGATTCAAAGTTTAGAATTCCTTTCGGCAATCTTTGATCATCTGGCAGAGAAAAGGTTTGCACTGTTTCAGAGGCCGTTCTCATGTGTCCCTTCAGTTATAGCATTTCATCTTTTTTGCAGCTCTCGGATACTAAAGTTAAATACCTCACAGAACCTCCCGGGCATTCAACTTCCCCATGCTTGTAACAAATTTAAGTAAATTGCACTCAATTAAAATGTCAGAACAGAGTGTGTGGTGCTGCTAAAAAAAAGAGCCTTTATTCAAAAATCTCCATGCAGCTAATTGCTCTGGAAACAATTACCAAGATAGATTTGAAAATATCTATCAAGAAAATATGTAAAAATCATAAAGTCTTTCTCCAAAACGGTCAGTTGATAGCAACCATGACATGAAATGACCTGAAGTCACTGCTTACTCCACGCACACCCTCATGTTTACCTTCACTTTCCTTAAAGCCAATTTAAAGTGCAAAGAAATGAGCTGAGCATTGGTAAGATGGCTTTATCGACTATTCGCTGGATTCATTTGCATCCACAACGTAAACAAACAGACTTTAATAGTGATTCATCTAACTTTAATGAATGGTTTCCGTTCACTCAGCCGTGTAAAAAGCACACAAATGCCAAAAAAAAAAGAAGGCGTCCCTGTCTCATCAATTCTAGACACACTCCAATAGATACTTTATACAAAAGTGTATTCCGTGGCAACGTGTCATTCCATTTTAGAGAAACCCTCAGTGGACTGAACCCTACAAGCTCTGTCAGCCATCAGTGAGGGAGTGCACACAGCAGCGGGGGACCGTGGTCGAGCGCAGAGGAAGCCGGAGTTCCTCCCTGTCACAGTGTGGGGAAGACGGCTGCTGTGTGAATTCTGCAATTTCCCCCTCACTCCTGCTCTCTGCAGACAGCTGATGTTTATCTCCTCTGCCCATCTGGGTCTTGTAACTAAACATCTGGTAAAGCTGCCACTGTGCGCGCAGGATATCTCAGAGCGATGGCAGTATAGGGGCACCGCTGTCCACCTCTTCCAAAAAGATCCTGAGAGACAGGGAGGACCTCTTCTAAGTTGTCGGGGCTTATTCTTAAAACGTGACTCAATTATTACAGTATTGTCCGGCACTTCATTTATCTGGTTGTTTTGTTCAGCGCTGCACTGTAATTATCCCGACTGTAGTTTGTCATCACAATGACGACGGACAAGGTGATGTGAAATGTGAGGCAAACTCCTTGCCTGCAGCTCCCTACATCATTATCAAAATGCAATCGTCAAATTAAAAAGCTATTTGCGGGCCACCCGTGCTGCAAATCTTTGCAAAGTATAGCATATGGCTCTAGAGAATCCTCATGGTCCAAACAACACTGACCACTTTCTACATGGTGGTTTTGTCCTGGTGCTTTAAAAAGCAGGTGTCGCTCCGTCATCACTACCCAGGCGCAGCTTTGAGCAAGTGCAGCAGTGTCGCTTCTTACCCGTTTGTCTGTTTTCAACTCCATTATAAAAGGCCGAGCCTACGTGGCTGTCCTTCTCTTCGAGGCTTTCCCCTAGAATGAAATGTTTTGCAGTGACTGGTAGGCCCTCATCCATTATGGATGCTCTGTTTTAGAGGGGTGATCTGTGCAGGATGGTATAAATATCTCCTTTTGGTTCCCAGCAGGGCGAGAGGAGCGGCACAAGACAGGCCCGCCTTGAAGTGTTTAGAGCAGTCCCGTCTTTAGTATTTGATTTGATGTCCAAACGTGACGGCGACGTCGTCTTTAATTCATGAGTCGCGGCGAAACTCTTGACTCCTCCGATTCAACGAGATAGTTCTACAAACGTGTACTCAACATTAGAGGGAAAGATGCTACCCACTACACCTCCATCTCCATTTCAATAATCACAAAATATCGCTGCTCCACAGTGATGCGTGCGGCAGCTGCTGCAAGGTAGCACACCTTTGTGGTCTTGAATGAGCTTTTGCCCTCTGTGTCCTCTGTGTCCTCTGTTATGGGCCGCACCGCCGCGGGACGCTGTATGTTAGCACACAAAAGCAGCATGAAGTAAAGCCTGACAGATATGTGTGTGAGATGGTCAATTGAGGCGGAGAGAGAGAGAGAGAGAGAGAGGGAGAGCTGCAAGACTCTCCCACTGTGTCCAGATCCTCTGCTCTATTAGTCTGGCACTGTGGGGGAGGCAGGCCTACTGTTGAGAGAACGCACGCACACACACACATGCACACACACGCTCACACACACACACACACACACACACACACACACACACACACACACACACACACACACACACACACACACACACACACAGAGAGTACCCATTACCACTCTTGATACAAGGGTTATGCGAGACTACGAGGGATCAGATGTGCAAAGAGCAGATGTGTTCGCAACCCGGGGAATATTGTTTCTTTCATTATCAGAATCCCATGCTCTTAATTTAGCACTATATTTCATAACCTTTTGGTTAAAACACTCCGTAGAGGATCTACATGAGCAGAGCAGTGTGCGGTTATGAAGTCTATGAAACGGTGCCAAGCAGCAGCGAATCAGTTATGCTCAAGGCACATAGAAATAATTCATCGCGGTGCCCTGAAAGCAGCCAAGGCATGGGTGCAACACACAACAGATTTCTTGTGTGGAGTGCTGGGTCTCCGGTATTATTTCTGCTTGAATTTTAGGATATGGAAACTAGTTTGCATCGCTGACTGCCCAATGCAGTTTTGAGTATGATATTATCAATTAACATATGGAGAGCGTGACATAGCAACTTGTCTCCCATTCACTGTGTTAAAGACTAATACAAGGCAAACCCACTGCATTAATCTATTGTATATTAGATCAATGCGATTGCTTTTGGTCTATCAAGTCTCCCTTTGCTCCTTCTGTTGCTTCCTTGGTGTCTAACGCCTGCCCTCTCTTTTTTCAGGAGCCTGCTGTGGAACCCACTGGCTCGTCTCATGACTTTCAGCCTGCTCGAAGGACCAAGAGGAGCGCTAAACGCACCCGAGTGATCCCGGAGAAGCAGAGAAGAGAGGCCGACTTCCCACCTTTGTTCTTGCCTTGTGAGAATTCTCTCTGTGGACTCTGTGTCTCAGCTCACCCCGGTGCTGTTTAGTTACTGCCTGAAGCCGCCACTCTGAGGTGCAGGAAGAGAGTGAAACACAGAGGGGAAAGAAGAAAGAAGAAAAAGAGAGCGAGGGTGCATAATTAGTACCACTGAGTTTGTGTCAGAGCTATAAACCATGAGAAGAGACTTCTGAAGACGGCTGTGCTCTGAAAAAAATTGCGCCTAACCTTCAGGACATTTGTGTGTGTGTGTGTGTGTGTGTGGGTACATGCGTGCACGCCACTTTCTTTTTCAAAGGGCTTGAATTTGTATTTGGATGCAGATTTAGCCTTTCATTATGACTCTGCGAGGAGGCTTTGAGAGAGCGTGGATTGGCTGCAACAGAGGCGTCTGCTGCTGGGTGTTGCTGCTCACTTGTTATTTCTCCATCGCCTTGGCAGCCAAACCCAAAATGCCAGGCCACACACACCTCAATTCAGTACGCATTGATGGGGACATATCTCTAGGTGGGCTGTTCCCAGTGCATGCGAGGGGAAACGATGGCAAAGCCTGCGGGGAGTTGAAGAAGGAGAAAGGGATCCATAGGCTGGAGGCCATGTTATTTGCCCTGGATCGTATCAATAACGACAACGAGCTGCTGCCTAATATCACTCTGGGGGCGCGCATCCTGGACACCTGCTCCCGTGACACCCATGCTCTGGAGCAGTCGCTGACATTCGTTCAGGCATTGATTGAGAAAGACTCAACCGATGTCAAGTGTCTCAGTGGAGGGCCGCCCATCATCACTAAGCCTGAGAGGGTGGTGGGAGTGATTGGTGCATCTGCCAGCTCCGTGTCAATCATGGTAGCCAACATCTTGCGTCTCTTCAAGGTCAGTTTCTCCTCCTTCTTACTTTACTTTTTCTTCAATATCTTTCCGATGGTGGTTGCAGTGCACAGATATATTAAAGTATTCCCGACAGGATATTCCCTCCAACATGTTTTTGGAGATCAGATTCTCAGTTAAAATCAATATTAACCAAAGGAAAACTTAGAATTTCATTCCGACACTGTGGCGATATCACCACACTGTAAGCAAAGTTCACCTTAATTGAATAAACATGCGCACACAAACACACACGCTCTTTCATTCCACACTTCACAGTCCGTGTCCTTATTGCTTCTCCTTTGACCTTTTTATTTTCCTCAGAAGCTCGAATCACAGTAGTTTCAGAAATGTCTTCCCACTGTCCAGAAAACTAGGATCAGACGACTACGTCACAATTCTCCTCACTAATGACATTATTATGCCAGGAGTCCTTAGTGTTGCCTTATTCTAATTAATCCGGGTAAGCCATGCATGGCACCATGAGCACATTGCACTGCTTTTGAATATAGTGCATAAAATGAGCCCCTGCATTGTGTTGGCTCAGCAGATGCAAATATAATGTGCAAATGAGAGCAACACATAAACAATATATGACAGGACTTTTGTAATACCTGCTCAGTGCTGTCAAACCAAACTGCAGGTCACAACCCGACTAATGAGCATAAGGACTGTGTCAAAACAGGTTGTCTCTTTTTCATAATATCCCATTATTCATGCCAGACAAGCTGCAGTAAGACGTCAGTGGTTATGTAATGTAACCCTTGCTCTACGAACACAAGTGAGGGACTGTAATGGGCTTCCAGGGCTTGTTTTTACGAATTGACTAAAATTGTGCATGTATGTGCCTCCAGCACTTTATGTCACATGCCAACATCTTTTCGGGCTGCACAGGACTGTTTTATACAGGCATTAAATCTGTGGGAAATGTTTCCAACAGGGATGCACTTATCCAACTTTTTCAGTCCCAGCCCTGATACCTGGGCTCTGGGTATCGTCTGATACAGAGTACCGATCCAATAGCAGGGATTAATAAATAACCTGTATGCCTCACTGTGTGCAAATGGCTGGGATTAAATAAAATAAATAAGGAAATAAAACAAAGGCTTGCTGCCAGACTCCTTGTGGAGGGCACATCAAATCGCCAGCGGAGGGCCTGTCCACTCGCAAGCTTGTGCGACTTCTTCACAAATAGGCAAGCCTCTGTTTGAGCAGGATTTTGCCAAGGAGTTGTTGTGTGTTCCAAAAAGTTTGCCAAATCCTGCAGTGGGAACAAATTATCCCCCCCCCCCCCTCTAAAGGGCATTGAGCTGTTCCATCCAAGACTTTGTGTTCTTGTGCAAAAATGTAGTTTTGAGTGAATATGGTGCTACTCAGATTCTGAAAGGCTGCACAAGTTATTCTCCCTCTGGACTGAGGTCAGAGTAAGCAGGAATCCTGTTTTTGATAGACAATGGCCTTAAAAGTATCTGCCCCGTGGGCTTGAACAGCCTGCATGAGAGGGCCTTGAGCACGATGGACAAATCCCACTGAGGGACAGAGGCGAATGCTACAGGATGAGGTCACTTCACTCCAACAAGGAAACACTATATTTCAAAAGGCAGCTAATAAAAACTCCCTTTCTCAAAACCACTCATGGCAAGAGATAGCGGGAACATGATCTTTGATGTATGGAAGGACAATCAAGACTCGAGCAGAATAATTCATTTCAAAGAGTCGGAAGTGATCTTGGCATATACCATTTCTGGCTACAATACTGGAATCTCCAGTCCGTCATTTACGTGATACAAGCAATGGGCGGTATTGGGAGCAGCCATTAGCTGAGCATGTTCTGGATATCACAGAGCTGCAGCCGAATAACCATGAGCTGCACCTGTCCGACTCTTTGCAACCACAGTGGGATGAGACGGAAGGACGGAAAAGCATAAGAACAGGCTTTTATGCTTTTATGTAATAGAGTATATGTGCAAATGCATCCACCTCCAATGGTGGATTTCTTACTGGTGTGGGGAAAAGAATCACAGGGTGTTCAGTCTCTCCACGAACAGTTGACATCATTCCAGCTTTAAAAAGTGTGTGGCCGTCTTGAGTCAGATGATAAACCCATAAATGATGACACATTTCAGGTTTATTTTGGAACACCAACATGGCATGGCAGTACACCCAGGATGAAACATGGATGGTAAACAGGCAGGTTGGTAACAGTGGTGCTATTTGTAAAGTAATCAACCCTGGAAAACCCACGATTGTCCAACATTATACGAGGGTTTCTCCAGTCTGAATGTGTAACACTGTGGTAATGAATTTTATAACGTGCAGCAATGAGTAGCTCAAATTCCTTTTTATTGGAACACCAACACCGACAGACAAGTGCTTCACCATCCCTGTCTGAAAAACAGATGCCTATCAATGTCACTGAAGTGAAAGTATTGTCTCTAACAGACACAGCAGGTCAGCGTGGCTTCCCCTTGGCGTATCTACTTCTTTATGTCTTTGAAATTCTTACTTTGTTCAGTGTTGGTTTTCATAATGTTACACCAAATGCCAAGTAGGTAGCATTAATTGCAAATAAAAAGCAGTCATTTCTTAGATATTCATTCCACTAGTATTCCAAATAAACATTGTGGAAAACTGGGAAGCTCTAAAAGCCTTTAATCGACTTATCTTGTGTTTTGCAGTCGACAGGCGGAACATCTTTTCATGAATCACACTGATATGGAAACAAGAAGCTGTGGAAATGTGATTTGTATGGGGCCCGGAAGTGGCCTCAGGTGAAAAGGATATCGCAGGGTTTAATACTTTTAATAATGTTAATACTACACGAGTGGAAAGATGATAGTGAATATGCATGAATTAGACCTGGTACTCGTTTTTTTAATTTAGTGAACCAGATGCATATCACCTCTTTGTTTTCGTGAATGTGTGCCCTTGTTTCTATAATTTTCTCTTCAGGATTTAATCTTCATGCGAACAATTTAATAACGTAAACAAGTTGATAAAATGTTCCCCCTGTGCTTAATGTAGCTAATTATGAAATAATCAATTAACTTCTTTGCAATATTTCATTTAATAATAGTATTTAGCTCAGGTGATGGAGAAAAATAAGCCTTTTATTTTTGCTGACAGCAAAGCAATCCATTACTGTCGCAAAAACATGAACTCACAACATATTGAGAACTTCTACCACAAATGCAAACTAGAGTGATGTTAGAGTGTTTTGGTTATTAAGTTGGCCGAGTGTTCATTTTCTCTCAGCTCTGGTGGAATTGCATGAACTTCTGGGTTGGGAGCAAAATTATGCTGATTCTCTGGCAATTGTCCAGATGCATTGTGGGAAAGGCAGGTAATCACTAACTGGTATGGAGGAAGATGAGTTGAGGAAGAGAGGGTATATTGAAAATAAAATAATGGGTGGATTTCTCCTTCAAAGCATTTCTCTCAATAATAAGCTTCCAATTTGGCCTTTTTGAAAAAATACTATTTGAATTTGAAAAATGTAAAAGTCAACGAGAGCCATCAGAAACCGCTCTGCCACAATCACAGTACATGCAATCCTCAGTGCTACCCCTTACCCCTGAGGATATTGAATAATAAGTGGAGCTAAGGTTGTACTCCTGCACGGCACGGCAGTTTCCGCTTCTTTTCTCCTACCATTAAAGTCACATAAAACCATAAGCAGGACTCCCTTGAGTGGCAAAGGAGAGTTTCACTGCTCACCACTTCCCTCTAATGACTTCAACAGTCGGGTTCTTCTTCTGTCAACGTTTTCCTCACCTAAACTACTGAGATGAAACTAAACCCAAGATGATGATGATGGGGGTTCTTTCTTTTTTGTGTGTGCATATAACACAGCCACTGGATTGTTTTCTAGACAATCCAGGTCTTGATGACTTAATAAACAGAAACGCATGAAAGCATACAATAAACATAATATACCACCGATATAATTTTGGAACGGATGCTGTTGACGCTGCTTGCCATCCTCGTGAGGGAAAGAATTTGTTTCCTGACTGTAACAGGCTTCATGTTTGCAGTTGTATTTCAAGCTCCTTACTTTTGGGCTCTTCCTTATCCTGCTCACAGTCTTTGAGTGCCTGAGGGCAAAGTGTTTGCTCAGCACTTCAGAGCAGGCAGGATTCCGTCCCCATGGTGTGTCATGAATATTTTACGATATTGTTACGTAATTTACGCCCTGGGATTGGGGTTGAAAGCTCCCTCTCTGCACGCCCTCCTCACTGGGTCCAGCCTTTGGTCTGTTCTCATCAGTTGGCTTTTTATACTACTCCATAAGCAGGAGCAAAGTGCACCAGCACTTGTGGTAATTAGTGGTTGGTTGCGTATGATACTCAAGACAGACTGAGAATAATTAAAGCCCCGGGCTTTTGATTGTGTCTCTTACACATCACTGAAAACAGCTACACTGGCTGGCTTTAGGGATATTGCTGCAGCAGTCAGAAACTGCAGAAGCATGCGCTGTGTTTCAGGTAGCCAAGTTGCTTTGCTGAGACAATCATAAGCTCTCAGACAAAGAGGGTGGCGACTTGGGCAACTTCCTCAGAGCAGCGCTCCAAATTAGTGACAAGCAGGCACAGTCAGTCTGCAGGAGTCTTTCCTCTGTGGAGGAGTGAGCTTGGAACTGTGGAGAAAGATGGAGTGAGGAGAGGAGAGGTGCTAGCAAGGTAGGCTGAGCAGAGAGAAGAGGTTTAACTATTTCCCTGTTGTGCTGTCTGTGGATAAGAGACCTTGCATCCTACTTTCTCTTCCCTCATTAGAGACAGAGGCAGAGGCCCTTAGGCACAGTGCCTTCCTCCCCCTCAGCATTTCGCTTTTGGATTATCTCCCCAGCCTAGAGCATCCTGATCTCACTGCCAGAGCATCAAATACGTGAGCAGTGGCACTAGGCGTGTTGATACTGACGCACAAGGCACTCTTTAGCGTCTAACTCCATTGTAAACACATCTGTGTCATTATAAGATGCTCAGAACAATGGATGTAATATTAAAAGC